ACTGGGGAGCATGTGTCTGAGCAAGCTGCTGACATGGTGGGTGGGGACACGGAGAGCCAGGATGCTCAGGATCCCACAAGCCCCTGGAAACATGCTCCCAGTAGGACTGGCCACGAGCTCCCACGGCAAAACCATCCCTAGCAACTCCAATAGCGGCACTCTAACCTTGAACCATGAACTTCTGTGAGGACTCTACTAAATTGTGACAGAGAACATAAGCAAGCTACACAGTGTTCTTCAAATTTAGCCACAGGCATGAAGAGTTAGCACGATGCCAACGTCAGGGAAGCCAAAGCTGGGTCCTGGGGTTGGATGCGTGGCTCAGCTGGCAGCAGGTACAGAGTTTCAGTCCCAGCCTCAGGCCTGAAAAAGAAAAGAAAAAAAGAGAAAAGGTTTGGTCCTGTTCAAGGAAAGGCCCATACGGACTCCTACACCCTGAACAAGACCCTTTCTCCCCTCTCCTAGGAACAGATTCTGTCACCCAGTGAAGTGCAGCTGCTCAGTGGCACACAAAACAGGCAATATAATTCTGTCCTTCCTCCCAGGAAAACTGCTCTTTCCATCACCCCTTGGTTTCTCATGGTTCCAGATCTGAATTGGATTTTGGTAGCTGACAGAAAGTCATTCCCAGTCATTCCCGTGCAATGAAGTTTCTTACAGAAAGATGCTGCACGGAGGCCAGGGGAAGGGAGCGTGCTTTGCTCAGCCCCCAGGCCCTCATGCAGCCGCTTCCCCCTCCAAGATGGCTGAACCCCAGTGCGTGGAACAGCGTCTGGTCAGAGCTGGCTTTGAACCAGGGTCCTCAGATCTCAGCCTCCAGACTAGCTAGGATTTCAGGCATGAGCCACTGGTGCCCACCTTACTTTATTGTTTACATTTTATGGAGGTTTACCTGGAAGCAAAGTTACCCTTGTTGACAGCAGCAGCGCAAAGTGACTCTGATCATCTACTTCCAAATAGAACTCGTGTGTGTGTGTGTGTGTGTGTGTGTGTGTGTGTGTGTGTGTGTGTATGCGCACGTGAATTACCAAACACTCTTTCTCTGCTTTACCTGCCCCCCACCCCCACCCCAGAGAGTAAGCCACAAGTGACTTGCCCTGCTCACCAGTGAACAGAATACTGCTAGCCAGGCCACGGCACCTAGTGAATATTTCTTGTTCTATCCACTGGCTGCGTGTTGGGGACAGCCAGTAGCTGTTCTCCAACCACTGCAATAGTCAGGAAGACAGATGCATGGTTTCACGCTGGCCCTGCACTTTACCTTCATTCTGACTAAACTCCTGTTAGCAGACATTCTTAGCACCCTGGCAGATGCTCTGTCAGCTGCTTAATGGTCTGTGAAACTTAAATGCACAGGGGAATGTCGTTCTTCCAAATTCTTTGGCTAAGGAAAACATCAGAATCTGCATCTGTGAAGAAGCAAGATTTTGCCAAGCATGGTGACTCATGCCTTCAATCCTAGCTACTATTCAGGAGATAGAGATTGGGAGGATTGTGGTTCTTGGTCATTGCTGACAAAAGTTCTACTAGCTGTGCAGGAAATGGAAATAAGAATATCATGACCCAGGCAGGCTGAGCACAAACACTCGACCTTATTTTAGAAAAATAACTAAAGCAAAAAGGGCTGGGTGTGTGGCTCAAGTGGTAGAGGACCTATCTACCACATTATAAGGCCCAGAGTTCAAAGCCCAGTGCTGTCCCCCCCCCTAAAAAAAAGTTGTATTTTTATTACATTTGCATTTTAGAGAAATATAGTGCAATTACACATGTATTTATAACAACTTGGGGTAGAAATAACTCAGGAGATACGTTGGGTCCATCATGATCTAAATCAGGAGGAAAAGAGGCTTTAACTTTCAGAGCTAGCACTGGAAAGGCAGACCTTCAGTACCAAACAACTACACAAGGCTCTGTCTAGCCCAGGACTTCTGTCAGTGGCAGGTCTCATTCCAGAGCTCACACACTGGGCAACCTGTTCTTCATGTCCCCTGGTTCCCTAACTCTTTGTCTGCAGGTCTGATGAGCAGGCTACTATTGATGCAGGGCTGGTATTATTTCTACCTCTGTGCCAGCAATTTAGGGGAGAGTTTATGCATGTAAAGACCACTTCTTTTAAGCTTTTAAGTTGCCTTTCAGAATGCTTTTTTAAAAAATGCCCTTGAGAAATACTGACTCATATGAACTTGGAGAAACTGTTTGAGATTTTTCAAAAAAGAACCCGAAAAACTGTAGTGTTCTTGAACCATTAGCTATTATAGACTTTGCTATTCTTTGTCGCTAGCTGCATTTAAACCTCATAAAACAGCCCTACGAAGTAGAGACTCAGTTGAATGCTGCCAAATACAAAAACACAAGTAACACCCCCGCCCCCAAAAAACCCAAGCCAGAGTAATTGAGGACTTGAGCAGAACACCAAGTTTAGTGCGTTGTACCTGTGATCTCCACAAGTGAGAGAAAGACGAGAGACCAGTGAACACTGAAGAAAAGCCTTTGTCCTCAGGATGGTACTTAAAGCCCTGGTGGCCAGGGCTGCGAGCGCAGCACAGCTCGACTGACTGATAAATAGATGCATTAAATCCCATGAGTATCCAAGGGAAGGAGCAAGCAGCTCTGCCTGCCGCTGTTCTCGTGATGAATACTTTGTACTGGGCCTTACCAGTGGGTTCATTCTCCCTAGAAGGCAGAAGAGGAACCCGCAGCACAGAGAGCCCTAAGGTGGGGACAGTACCTGTGTGGGGAACAGGATGACCACTCCAAGAAGCTCCTGGTGACCGCCTTCTTAGGGACAGAGGCCCTGTGGGAGGCTATGCCCAGAACTTGGGGGGCCTTGGTGAGACCTAAGGATCTTGGTCACACTTCACCTAGAAGGCTTACTATGAAGGCTGTGTAGAGAATATATCCAATCCAGAAGGAGAGGGTCCCCCAGCAGCCGGAGCCCTCTTAGACCCCCAGGTTCCAACCTTGCTGCACCGCAGCCCTGCATAAATATGGCTGGCTGGTTTGTTCATTTGTTTGAATTCTGTTCTTTCCATCACTTGATGGCATCTCTGAGCCCCTGAGTCCAGATCTTCCAGTCCTTCCGTTTCTTTCTCTTTTTTCATTTTCGTTCTTTTTTTCTGTCTAACTGGGGCTTGAACTCGGGGCCTCGTACTCTCACTTGGCTTTTGCACACTTTACCACATGGACCCCACCTGTGCTGCTTGCTTTTCGCTGATAGATTGGAGATAAGAGCCTCACGGGCTTTCCTGCCCAGGCTGGCTTCAAACCATAATGCTCAGATATCAGCCTCCTTAGTAGCTAGGACTGCAGATGTGAGCCACCAGCACCCAGCCTTCCATTTCCTTCTTGAGTCCTTCAAATATCTAGTCAGAGCATTCAGGGTTTTGGCTACATTCTTAAGCTTCCCTTCACTGGGTCTGTCAAATACTAGTTCTTAGTTCACTTTGTATCAAAGGTTTATACTTTCAGAAAATGTACTTTGGAGCCCCCAGATCAATAGTCTATCTGTCATAAGAAAATGCTCACAAACTTTCATATTGTCAAATTATCACTTTCATATTGTCAAATTATCACTACTCAGAGCTAGACTTTTTAGGTAGTTCTAGTGCTGAAAAGGTTGACATTGCTTCATTTTAAAATATTTGACTTTTAGTTTTAGCTTCAAAATTTTTCTGACTAAATTGACACCAACCTCTGATTGGGTTGGTAATAGCCTTTTAAGCCTGTATCTGATTTCTAGTTTTTCAGTTCATATTTGCAAGAGCTAAATAAGTATGATCAATTTCACAACTGACACAAAGCTACTGAAACAGCAAGGTTTTATTTTGAGCCTCAGGAGCACCCATAGCGATCTGCTCTCATCATCAAGGACCTTATTCCAAGCCCATTCTTTTCACAAAGATGCTCAGCGAAGCCAAGGCCACCCCATCACTTTGTTTCTTCCTTAGTACAGAAGGACTGAAGGACTCAGCCAAGGCCCTCTTGATGATCTTCTCCAAGAGAATTTTTTAGTCACGTCTTGGGGTCTGGGGTAAGGTGTTGATGTGAGAATAAAACTGGAAGCTTCATCTTCCTACAGATTAAGGGCTCTTTGCTCTACAGAATACTGAGACCACCGGTTGGGACCCCATGGGTTAGGGGGTGATTCTAATGTGAGATGGGCAAGCAGAACCAAACCCAGAGACAAGATGGAACTTGGAGACAGATGTATTTGTAATTTTTTCTACATTTTTAGAATTGGCTCAAAAATATAATCAAAGATTCTGGTCAGATGAACAAAATGTGGAAATGATGTATTTGAATATAAATTTAAGTTTTTTATTTTTACAAATTATTTTCAATGTATATTCCCATCTCCTATACACTAGATTTTTGGTTTTTTTTCCACTTTCTGGAGTTCATGTCAATAAATATTATTTTCCATGATCAGAGGCACATAGGCTTTGGGCCTTTGTGCGCCTCCCCACACTGGTATTTTTGAGGAACGAATGTGGAGAGTCAGCTGGGCTGGATTTGGAGCACACCGTCCAAGAAGGAGAATTCAGCATGGCCCTGTGCTAATTGGGGCAAAGGCTAGCTTTTGTAACAGACCTTCAGAGATTGACATAGTACAAGTTTGGTGGGCAGTGAAGACAAAATCAGAGGGGTGGTCTTCTGCACCCTGGGCTGTCCAAGTGGCCTGGGGGGGTGGGGAATTGTCTGCACCCCCTCCCCTGGAGGGAGTGGGCGGGGTCCCTCAGATTCCCTACTGGGTGGGGCCAGGGGTGGGCAGAGCATATGAGCTCAAAGGCCATTGGCCAGTGTTGATCACGTGGGCTCCTATGAGCATGGAACAAATCACATTGGTGCTCCAGGTATGCACTAACAGCCTGCCCTTGGTGCCCTGCACGCATGCGCGTCAGGTATGCCCCCCCCCCAGCTAGGTGGGCCCACTCCAGGGGGATTTGTGTCCACCAGGAGGGTCTGGGGGCTGAAGCACTGTTTCTCCTTTTCCTCTACAGACATTGCAAATGGCACCAGTTCCGGGGGGTACCGCCCGCCCCCCAGAACCAAAGAAGTCATCATCAACGGCCAGACTGTGAAACTTAAGTACTGTTTCACCTGCAAGATTTTCCGGCCCCCTCGCGCCTCCCACTGCAGCCTGTGCGATAACTGCGTAGGTGAGTGAGGCTGTGTGTCTGCGGGGATTGGCTCCGCCCCTCGGGCCGGCTCCGCCCCTCGGGCCGGCTTCTCCCCCCCCGCCGGCTCCGCCCCCAGGCAGGCTCCGCCCCTGGGCCGGCTCCCCCCCCCAGGCAGGCTCCTCCCCTGAGGCCGGCTCCTCCCATGTGCCTGGCTCCGCCCCCAGCCGGCTCCGCCCCCGTCACTGCATTTGACTGGCTCCACTGGCTGACCGCGTCTGGCCTGGTCCATGGCCACCGATCGTTCTGTTTCCTGGCTCTTAGCATCCCGACGCCCCCAGGCCTCCTCCCCAGCGCAGGTACCGCGTGAGGGTCTTCATCCCCCTGAGGCTGTCAGACCGGTAGGAGTTGGGATGAAACTACTCCTGGAGGAGCTGCAGGCGTGCATCCCAGGGACAGGAAGCCGGGCCGAGGCAGGCGGCGTCCCCATCCCGGGGCTGTTAGGACCCCGGCTCTAGCTACTAGCTTCCCTAGGACGGAGCCGAGAGGCAGGCAGGGGGAGAGCCGGAGGCCCTTCCTTACAAGATGTGGCTCCACTGCTACCCCTGCACCGGCTGCTGCAACCCACCAGGTCTGCCCCTGCAGTCCTCAAACAGAGCCGCTGCCCACGCCACGAGGCTGGCGAGGGATTAGAAGGGCAGCTGAGGGCTGGACCACATGTGGAGGACCCCGCTTCTTAGCGCTTGGCCAGCCTTGAGTAGACATGAACGTGATGTTCCCATGAAAATAAGCATGGAAACCTGCGACCTCATGCCTGAAAGGAGAGAGAGGAGCTCAGAACAAGCCTGCCTTCCCTCAGTGACACATCCATATGCCCGTCATTCACTTCCAGCCCTCTCCGCCTTCAGTCTAAGAATTCATAGTCTCATTCTTTTTGAAAAAAATACAGTTCTATAATGTACTTCCTGTTGGGACAATCAATCTTATGTACCTTACATTTACTTTATCCTAACTTTAATCATCAATAATTTCATACAGAGGCCCTATTTTTCCTGTCAGGCTTTGTTAACTTAAATTAGTTTTTGCCTTCCCTAAGGAACAGCATAGAATTTGGTTCTGTCTTTCCTATCAGGAGAAAGGAACCTAGAGTTAAGTGCAATATGACAGGCCCAGAGTGACAAAGGGTATGTATTTTCCCTTGTATGTGGAAGTAGATGTAGCTCCCAGACTCATAAGTAGATATGTTGGGTGGTATACAAATGCATACAAATGTATTAACTGAAATACAGTAGATTCAAAGGAGATCTTAAATAGTAACAATACCTTAGAAAGCCAAAATTAAAGTCCAGCTAAATAAATCACCAGGAACCCAGTACTCAGAAGGGGTGGAGTGAGGTCTAGGGGAAAAGGGGAATGAAGAGGAGAAGATGGGGGAAATGCAGATAGGAATCCATTGTGTATCCTACAAAATTAAGAATTGGGAGGGCAGGGCTGGGTGAGAATGTTAAAGGGGTGCCACTGATCAAGATATATTCATAATCTGCTATGTGAAAGGGCAACTCCTTTGTACAATACTTAAAGAGAATCATTTTCAAAAATAACAGAAGTACAAAGAAAGCAGCTGGGTCCAAATATCTCCCATGTGACTCGGACCCGCTGCTTACGCTCTGGCCTCTGTTTTCTCTTCGTTGTAGTGGGGTTGGTGGCAGCACCTACCTCACGTGATGGGAGGAGGTTAGAGACATGCAAAGAGCTTGCAGTAAGCCTGGCACATAGCACGCGACCCCTGTGAGGGGACACACTAGAGCTTCTGCAAAGATATCCCAGGCTCCGTTTGATTTCCTACCTTTCGTGGGGACAGCCGCCAGCCCCTGGGACCAGCCCACAGGCATCCCCCAGAGCCCCACAGGGTCTTCTAACTCTTCAGGGGACCCATCTGTGGGAATTCTCAGGGCCATTTGTTGGGTTGATATTTTGATCCCTGTGACTCTAATAGGATCGAAAAGTGTAAAACTTAACTCTTGTGTTGTTTTGCATGCCCTCTCCTGCCGGCCTAATGCCCTACCCTGATCTGCATTTTGATAAATAAGGATGTGTTTTCTTCTTCTCTTTATCATTTATAAAAAGAATCTTTCCTGTTTTTGGACACTCTTTGTTGCTACTTACTCATTTGCATTTCCTGTCCTCAGCCCGCTATTCCTTGTCTTGTGCACATGAGGCGCTCAGGCTGCTGAGCTCTGAGGAGCCGCACGGGGCCCAGAGGGCAGCGTGGCCCACTTGTCTTCCGTCCCCTCTGTCGTGTCTGGTCTGGATGCCTTAAAACTCTCCCAAAGCCATTATTGCTGTGGCCGGGGACTGTACCGCCCTCTACAAAATGCTTACAGGTCTCCTCCCCTGGCCTGCTGTCCTTTCTCTCCTGAGCACGTGGCGTGTTTTAATACACACCCTCCTGGCCACAGTGGGCCCTCCCATTGCCTCGCTGCATCCTCTGTGATGGGGTCTCAGAGCTCAGACCCGAGCACACGCACCTCCACCACGGTCCTCAGAACCTAGCCACGGCATAACTGTCCGACGGACGTCGAAAGGTTGAAATGAGGAGTTTGGCATTGTACTTGCCTTCTAGTGCAGGCTAGCATCCTGGATTTCTTCTTCACCATTTGGGTCTGGTAAGAGGGCCAATAATGTCCCATCAAAAGGATGTTAGTTAGCCAGGTGCTGGTAATCCTAGCTACTCGGGAGGCTGAGATCTGAGGCTCACCGTCAAAGCCAGCCTAGGCAGAAAAGTCCATGAGACTCTTATCTCCAATTAATCATCAGAAAACTGGAAGTGGTGCTGTGGTAGAGTGCTCGCCTTGAGCCGAATTGCTCAGGGACAGTGCCTAGGCCCAGAGTTCAAGCCCCACAACCAAAAACAAAACAAAACAAAAAGATGTCATTTGAGGGAAATGGAAGGAGCTGGCATCTGTGTCCTCTTTGAGACCTGAACTCTTAAGACTTTACTATGCCTCCTAGTTTGTTGGGTCTTTGCATTTCACCAATATTTAATCAGCATCTGTATGTCTAGGGATGTGATAGGAGCTAGTTATGCCAAAGTAAAAGGTAGTCTTCGGGTTGTTACTACAGCAGAGCATGGAGAATTCAAGCAGAACGCTTTGCATTTATCATGGGGCACAGGTCCAAGAGAGTAATTTCATTTTGCAAAAGAGTGCAGTTAAAGGCTGAATATGATGGCTCCTGCCTGTAATCCTCGCTGCTCCAGAGGAAGAGATCAGAACTATTGAATTTTAGGACAGAAATGTTTGCAAGACCCCCATCTCAACCAACAAAAAGTTGGCAACCATAGTTTGTAGCCTGACAGCTATGCAGAAAACATAAATAGGAAAACCATGGTGAGGGTCGGGGTAGGCACCAATGTGAGACCCTACTTGTAAAATAAGTAAAGCAAAAATGTCTGAGACGGTAGCTTAAATGGTTTAAGTGTGAGGCCCTGAATTCAGTCATGCCAACAAAAGTACAGTACAAAATTATCATTTATATACAAAATAACATTGCATCAAAAGTCATAAAGTTAAAATTGTCAGGAAATACAGGGATAGTTTGCTATGAACACATGGCATACCTGTTTTTGAGACTGATGTCAACAAAATATAAGAAAATCAAGGATCTCACTATGTAACAAATAAATATATGTTGATCTTTGTTTCTGTAAGATATGCCTTTTTCAAAACATGTAATAAATCATAAAAGGCCATCAAGATATTCCTAAATTCCTACAAAGCAGATGTTGCCTTAACTACATCATCTGATGACACATTAAACTAGAAACAGCCATAAAGAAATAAATGCCTAGCTGGGTGCCAGTGGCTCACACCTGTCAATCTAGCTACTCAGGAGGCTGAGATCTGAGGATCACGGTTCAAAGCCAGCCCTGGCAGGAAAGTCCACAAGACTCTTACCTCCAGTTAACCACCAAAGAATCGGAAATGGCGCTGTGGCTCAAGTGGTAGGGTGCTTGCCTTGAGCTGAAGAGCTCAGGGACAGTGCCCAGGCCTGGAGTTCAAGCCGCATGACCAACAGAAAGAAAGAAATGAGTGCCCAAACACAACCAATTATCATTTTTTGAAGATTAAAAACTTTACATAAACAATTTTTGTGCTACTTGGGAAAGAGCTTAGGGCTTTACACTTGCTAGGCAAGTACTCTGCCACTTGAGCCATTCCTACAACTCTTTTATTTTTGAGATCGAATCTTGCTGGTTTTTTCCTGGGATGGCTTTGTGTTCAGTCACCTGCCTCTGCCTCCCTAGACATACATCAGTGCCTAACTACATACATTGTTTTCTTTTAATGGTACTGGGGTTTGAACTCAGGCCTCAGGCTTGCTAGGCAGACCCTCTACGTCTTGAGCCATATCCTCAGCCCTTTCTCGAGTTTGCTATTTTTCAGATAGGGTTTCAAACCATGATTCTTGCAAGTCGTTAGCGTCACAGATATGCACCACCATTCCTGGCTTCATAAACTCTTTTTTTTTTAATTGTGAAAATGTCATACAGAAGGGTTACAATTACATGGGCAAGGTAATGAGTACATTTCTTATCAAGCATTGTAGCCTCCTCCTTTGTTTCCCCTTCCCATCCCTTCCCATCTCCCCC